CGTCCCCTGCACCTCGTCAACAGCAGCGCCGGCGTTGGATGGGACCCTGAAGCAGACGCAGAACCTGGGGCGGAGGTTAATTACTAATTGCTGCTTGGGATTTGTGGGGGTTGGGGCTGTTTCGATGAGGAATACAACAGGTCCGCATTGTTGCGTGACTTGCAGTTCAGGATAAGGCTGTAGAAGTCTCATGTGGGTGAGACTGAAATGGCGTAAGGAACAGTGGTGGGTCTACCGTGGTTGCCGGGTATTTGGCGCTTGCTTTAATGCTCCTCATAGATGGTAGAGGCATTCATTACCGTCTCGGGCACAACTTACTACTGGCCCACAAGGCCCCAAGCAGAGAATACGTATTGTGTTCAGGGTGTCGTCCACATGCCTTGTTCAATCTGCATTTCCCAACCAAAGCCCCGAACCCTAAATGACATTAACGCGTACAGGTATCCAACAATTGGGTACTATAGGGCTTGTGCTACTCTAGCCATTGTAGCACAGGTTTCCTGGAAAAATGACTATTTAGTACTTGAAGCCTGAAGGCAACCCGTAATGAAAGGCAGCACCAAGAGCAACAACCCCCATGAGGCAAATTGCTTTGTATGATTCGAGGAGTATGCTTGAGCCCGTAGACGTTGATGTCTTTCCCAGAGGGTCCACATATACAACCATTAGGGAATTGGGACCCATAATTCCTTCTATAGTATGATATTTTGGGGCCTAATTCCCTAATAGTTGTATATATGGACCCTCTAGGTTTGTAGGGCTTGGCTTGGGGGTTCTCGGGTTGAGTTGTCCCAGGCTGAAGCCTGGGGCCATGAGGCTTTCGAAATCCATGTGGTAGTTTCCCTAAATTACTCTTCCCAAAATGGGGGAAATTTATATAGGGCCCCGTATTATAATCGGAACCCAAATATAGGACCCCGTATTATAGGGAATTTAGACCAATACCCATATGTACTAAGTAATTGTTGGTTATATTCTTCGGGTACGGGTGAACCTGAAGGCTAAAGGCAGGTCTGGGGCCCAGAGTATTGTAATTCAAGCTCTCTACAAGTAGGTGACTCAAGGATGCTGTCACAACCTTCAGGGTCCAAGTGCCCAATAATTAGGTACTTGGCAATCTGGGAATCTTAATTGCAAGTATATGGGCGTTTGTCAAAATTATGGTCCCTTTTGAGTACGTACCCTAAATATTAGGTGCCGTATTATAATAGGGAACCAAAAAGGGACCATAATTTTGACAACCACCCATATGAATATTGGGTACCTGGACCCTTAGGGCAAGGTGTGAGGGTGCGGAGGGAGCTTGCTCGATGTCCGAAAACGGACAGCCTTCCAGGCCTGCAAACCTATTGAGATTGAGCTGCAGGAGCCATGTAACTCTCATCACGACAAGGAATCCCCGTAAGATGTTCCATGCCCAATGCATGCACTATGTGGATGTTGGACCCTGCCCTGTACCCTGAACCTCAGGCCTAAACCCTAATCGAAATCCTCAACCCTAATTCTAAATCAACCCTAATCCCTAATCGGAACCCTCAAGGCCATGTTCGAGCAGCATGTGCCGTGTTGGCGCCACGTTTCTGACCAGGCGAACCGCCACCGGCGTGCGCCCTGCGGATGCAGAGGCTTCAGGGTTTAGGATTAGAGGTTCAGGGTTTAGGGTTCAGGGCTACGGGTTTAGGGTCAGGACCTTCATGTACTCATTGTTCTTGCCTTGCCTGAGTCTTTTGCCCAGAGCTTGCAAGTATATATGAAGTCATACACTCGGGCCCAAATTGATTAAATGGCTCCCATACGGGAACTTGGGGTTTAAGCCTTGTACCATTTGGCACTTGGACCGTACACCTGGACGGCTGTACACGGGCAGCTTGGGCCCATCTCCTAGCAAACTGAACCCAAGATGAATGACCTGGCGGCTGCGCTGGGCGTTTTGAAAGACTGGGTTTTGGGGGAACCTGGGGGACATGTGGGCATACACCTTTTTCTTTGCGACGCTCCCATTGTCTCCGGCGCACACCTCCAGAGCAGCGAACCTATCTAACCTTTCGCCTAACCTAAGCGCCGGAAACCAAGAATGTCCCAAAACTATGTAAAATTATAGCTTTTTGCGCTTTTGTTAAAGGGTTTTGGGCTATCATGTTACCTACTTTTGGGGCCAGGTAGGGGTTAACCGGTGGACCTGTCAAAGGCCCAAAGCAGGCACGGGCTACTCTTCAAAGTTGAGCCTAAGCAAAGTCGAATCTGTCCCAAATGCGGTTTAGGGTTTAGGGGTTTTTTGGTGGTTGAGCCTAGTAAGATTACATTCCTTATATAAAACGCTATACCCAGAAGGAGGATATAATCGTTTTCTACATTGGGTAGCATAGTATCCCCAAATAAACTACTGCTCAAATTATTTCCCCCTCCCTATCAGAGTACAACCTGAACCCAAAAGTATGTAAAATGATGGCTCTTTTAGGGCTTAGGTAGGGCTCTAAGGGGCACCCCTATAGTCTCCTGCAATTGCCACTTTATCGTGCTTAAGGTTTAGGGTTTAGGGTTATCCCTGTAGGAATCCTTCGCTTACCTCGGCTCAGAAAAGCCCTTAACCCTAAACTCTACAACCCCCAAACTCTACAACAATCTAGCCCTGCAACCCAATAAACCCCATGTAGCTTTAGAGAGGAAACTAAAGCGATACTGGCGGACCTCCAGAAGGCTCACGAAGGGCCTGCTGAACCTGAGATGTTCTCCAGGGGTCCAAATACATCCTGAACCCCAGACCCCAACTACACCCTAAACTCTAAACCCTAACCACACCATAAACCCTGAACCATCGAGGGTGTAAGGATGAGGGTTTTGCAATTAGGGTTTTCGGGCTGGGGCGTAGAGGCAGGGTTCAAAAATCTTTATTAGGTGGACCCCGCACCCAGTCACAGTGACTTTAAGGGCTAATGGTGATTTTAGTAGGGCCCTCTTACATTCCTATACACAGCTATTACAGGGTGGGGGGCCCCCCTAATATCTATACATTACGCAGATTAATCCACTCAGATTGTAGTACTAAGGACCCCCACCATGTGGGTACTTGGACCCTCTAAGTATGTAAGATTGTTGAGGGCCTTGTGGTCCGCCCAAGCTCTCCAGAGCACTTGAAAACCAAATCAACAAATTCTGACCTACATGTTCAGGCCTAAAACCCTGAATCTTTCCCTTTCGAACTAAATCATTCAATTCGGAACCTGCATTGCCAATCCTACAGTCCTTCATCCTTCCTTGCAAAAACTCCCCACCCTATAACTCCCTAAACACTATGTGTACATCTTCAAAGTGAACTGAAGGTACACAAACTACATCTCACATGAGTAGCGGGTTTTGGTGCCTCGACCAAGTAAGAATATCTTCGCATTATAACAAGGCATACTCTCAAAAGAAGGATATAACATCGCGCTATTTCGACACACGATATGACCAAATCAAATTCTACATGACCCCAACATAATCCCAATATCCGTTTGAATTCCCAGTATGGTTTCCCGTGTTATACACTACTTCCTGAAAATCCCTGCCCAAAACCCGAAACCCTAGACTCTAAATGCAGTACGTGCTACCCTATACCCTAAACCCTAGATCCCAGATGCAGTACTACTCAAAACCCTAAACCCTCAACCCCTACATCCCAAACCCTCAACACTTCGTACTACTCAGGTCAGAGCCATCTCATTGATCTGCGGGGATGGCAAAGCGACCTGACCCTTCGCGGCCACATCTGCGCAGTGCAAGGAGTCCTGCTGGTTTAAGGTTTACCTAAACCCCAAAAGTATGTAACATAATAGCCCTAAACCCTAATAATGACCAGAAAGGCCATTATGTTACATACTTTTGGGGCCCAGGTAAGGCTACAGTAAAAAGTTCCACAGAAATCAATGGACATGGTTTCCATACTCAACTACAGACATCCCCTGTTAAGGGCCCCGTAAAAAAAGCTAATATTGACAGGACGACAACAAGTCCCTTGTGCAATTATCATGTATCTTGGTGGAGTAAAACCTATCAAAGAAGAAACTCTAAACCCTAAACCACGAAACCTGAACCCTAAACCTTAAACTCTAAACCCTGAACCCTCAAGCCCATCTAAAGTTACCATGACTTAGGGTACCCAAATTTCCTTAGTTTTAAAATTTCAAAATCAAAATGACCCCCTCAAACCCTAAGTAATAGCAATAAACCCTAAATCCAAGATGAAGCTTTTGGGGTTTAGGGTTCAGACCTTCCGCCATTGCCGGTTTCAAGATCCTAGCACAGTTTGGTGCTCGAGGTTATGGCCGGTAAAAATGACTGGGGCGGTTTGTAGGGAATAAGGGAATACAATCCCTACATAACCCCTGTGTAACAATGTATTCCCTACCTAGAACTTGAGTTTAGGATTAGGGGTTCAGGGTTACAGGTTTAGGGTGTCGGGTATTGGCTTTGGATTTAGGGTATAGGTCTACCTGAGCCCCAAAAGTATGTAAAATGATGGCCTTTATGGCTATTATTGGGGGGTTAAGGCTATTATTTTTACATACTTTTGGGGCTTAGGTAGGGTTTAGGGTGTAGGGTTCAAGGAACTGCGGACATGTCAGCCTCTACGGGATGACAATGAACGCTAATCTCTAAACCCTGGACTGTAGAGCGCCTTGCCATTTTCTTGGGCTCTAACCCTATACAGAATACATTGGGCCTTAAGCCCTGTAAATAGTACCTGCATGGAGCCTTAGGGATCTAGACTGCTGGCAAATAAGAACTATTGTCCATCAAACGGCAAGGAACCACTAAATAAGCGTATGTTTCACGCACCATTGCACATTTCAGTGTCCCTAAAAGAGGACGACAACCTTGATACTGACCCTGAAGCTTCACATCAGCAGCCAAGCTTAAACCTTAACCGTAAACCACCCAAACCCCCGAAACTAAACCGCAAGCAATAACGTCTGACTTGTACCCTCAACACTTGGAGCCCGCCAATTCGGCCCAGAATCCACCGGTACACTCAGAGAGGCTGCTAGCCGCACAAGCCTTTGCTTACTTTTTTGTGCTCAGGGTTTAGAGGTTCAGGGCTTCAAGGATACATAGGGATGGGATATATACCTAAACGCTCCAGCTTCCCTCTTTATATGCCCTATAGGGACCATATACCCCCCTAAAAAGGGTACAAGGAGGGTCCTGGTAGGGGATAAGAAGAATATACAGGGGTTGGCTGACAGGGGTATATAGTTTACATGCGGGCGTATGACCCAAGGGATGCTGTTCTGTAGGCTTAAGGGTCCAGGGACTCTTGAACCTTAAACCCTAAACCCTAAACCCTGAAACCCTATGATTTGGGTTCTTGGGCTCTTCTGTAGGCTTCTGCTTGCTCTTCTGAGTTTGGGGGGCTTACGCTCAGGGCTTGGCAAATGGCCTTAGGGTGTAGGGTTGTGGGTACCCATTGGGCTTATGTTAGGGTTATATGGGGTTGTATTAGGGTTCTAGTAGGGTTATGTTGGGGTTAACTTGGGATAATGGAAAATACAATGGAAACTACTATTTAGGGTTCAGGGTTTATAAGGTTTAGGGTTTAGGGTGTAGGGTGTCCGTATATATATATATATATATCAACACGCAACGTCTGACAAGTAGGAGCGGCCCTGGAGAAGATCCGTAATCTTTGGAGACCTGCCCTACAGCCTGATTCAGCCCTAAACCCTAACTTCCCCAATTCCCCAAGCCTCAAACCTCCACGAAGCCCTAAACGCTGAGCCTCCCTAAAGCCCTTCACCGCAAACGCTAGGCCATAATCCGCTTTGTTTGGCACTATCCCTTTACAAGGAGCTCAGCTCCCGAAAACAGGTTTAGGGTTTACCTGAGCCCCCGAAAGTATGTAAAATAATGGCCTTTATTTATGGCTATTATTGGGTGGTTAAGGCTAGTATTTTACATACTCTTGGGGCTTAGGTAAGGTTTAGGGTTTAGGGTTGAGTTTGGGCATTGGGCTCGCGGGTTGGGCTTGGGTCCAGATTCTACGAAGCACGAAGCTTGGACCCTAGGCGCCAAACACCTCATCGCCGAGCCTGGCAGCCTATGAACGACTCGATGCTAGAAGGTAGTTTCCATGATTATGGTACCCCAGCATAGGCCCCCCAAATCCTATCCTTATTATCGGCCTCCCAAGAGAAGGAACCCTAAACCCTTAAATCAATTTGATGGCAACTCCCAAGTACACCAACAAAACCTCAACCCGGGAGTCTTCTGCTGAGGCACAGGTCGGCAACACAACCGTCGCTACCCGCAGAATCAACTGAAGCATCGCTAAACGTGTAGCAGCAAACCTCGCGTCTAAGGTGGAACCACGGGTTTAGGGTTCAGGGATCGAATTTAGGTGGACTCCCCACCCTAGTAATACGGACTATAAAGGACAAATGTGAGTATACTAGGTTCTTCTTATATTCCTATTCAACACCAGTATTACAGAGTGGGGGGAGTTCCACCTAATGTGCCGGCCTTATAGGGTTTGGACTGAAGTTTATTGTTCAATGCCTGTCCAGTGTCATAACATTTGGGGTTAGGGCGAATATGATTTCAATATGGAGACTGCGGGGAACGTTAAGCAACACGTCGCACGCGCAGGGTGGGACCAACCTGACTTAACATACGGCAGCTAGATAACCTGAATCAATTCGTGTCACTCAACTACGGAATAGTAGGAGCTCTCTACATGGAAGTCGTGGTAACTCCTGCTCCTCATGGGCCCAAATTTGACGTAGCCCACATGCTTGATCTCCATTGGGTATCTCCATGCTGATGCCGTTTCCCTATGGAGGACCCTCTCGTATGCACTTCCAGCTGCACACCCAAAGAAATGCACTAAATACGGGGCCGAGGTATGCCTAACTGTTCATATGGAGCAAAATACAAGCTCCTGTGGGCGTGTGAGCATTCTCCGAATCATCCTTCTTATGTGTGAAATGCCATTGGACCTTAATTCTCTTCAACAATACCTAACAGAAAGCGTTAGATGAAGCAGGGGCCAAAAACAATTCGAATGGGGCCTTGAGGTATACTATGCTAAACTTATAGTCTGTTATAAGAAGAACTACAATTGAACAACGCATGATCTTTACTGTCAATACTGACAAACCAGTACGCTGTGAGTCTACCATAATACCGTAATATCACAATAACATAATTCTCAGAGTATGACGTACTCAGCGTCATGCAGGAAATTTAGTATAAACCCTAAACCCCTAAACCCTAAACCCTGTTGAAAACCTTTTACAACTTACACCAGGAGGCGAGCGGTGCTGGCAGTTCGGCCGCCACGTAGTCCTCTACGACATCCAGGCCAAGGGCTTGCTGATTAATCCCCACAATAAGGTTTAGGGTTTGGGGTTTAGGGGTTTAGGGGAATGAAAGGGAACCGAAGGCACAATGGATTCTACTACTATAGCTGGCGTTAGGATGTTAAAGTTTTAGGGCTCATACTACACAAATCACACCCCTATTACCATAGTTGGGGGATCCATTACCAGGGGATGGTCTTATTTCTAGGCGGAGGGTAGTCGGACCCTTTGAGGGGTTTTGACTATGTACAGCTCGAATGATTCTGAACCTTGGGATTTCGGGCTACGGGCTTGTGGCTGGCATCATCTTACCCAAAGGGTTACCCTAGGGATCCAAATAGCCCAATGTAGGTAATATTTGCAGATTTTGGGGCCCAATGTAGGTATTATTTGTATACTTGGATCCCTGGCGTTACATTTTCAGGTAAACATTGGAGATTGTGCGTGGCGGTTTCTGCTAGGGGCCTCATCGAGAGATGCATCATCCAGAAAACTGTCCCATGAACTGAGGGGGCCCTATACAACACAAAGCTTAACCTATACACGGCCTCTCTATTCTAGACTTCATAAGTGACCTCTCCGTTCAAACAAGCACTTGAAGTGCCATTCGAGATCTGATCCTTTCCTGTGCTGGTTGCAAGAGAGCAAAGAGGGTCACCGAAAGCATAAGTGCCCGATGATCTTCCTTCCGTATAAACTGCCGATAAACAATCAGAAGATCAGGGGTAGTAGGTGCCCTATGAGGTTCCATAAGCCCTGCCTGGGAAATTCCATGAGATTCCTTTGTTTATGACGCGGCCTGTCGAATCCAATTTTCTGGCTCTCAGACTTGAATGCCTCTCAAGGCAGCCACTGTATAATCCCATAGGTTCTCACCCACACTTACTAAACCCTAAGCCTGTACCCTAAACTTAATTCCTAGTTTGGTCGAACTCTCTTTATTGCACTCTTGGATGTGCATGTGCATGATCAAAGGGTGCGATGCATGGATTTTTGGCAAGCTGGCAGAATATTTACTTCGGGGCCTTAATTTCAGGAAATAACATTGTTTAGGGCTCTCTAGGCCCACAGCGAAATTCAGATCGCACGCCCGTCCAGACCCCGGAAGCAATCGAGAAGTTCCACGCCGGCCGCTGGGAGGTTGAAAACTGCATGCGTTACCTGATGGACGGGGCATTGATCCCTGCTTGTACAAGAGTACAAGAAAAGCGTCTATTCTAGACCTATGGCTATAGTTTTACGTGCCAGGACTTAGTTGCTTAAATCGCCGGGTCGCAACGCTGCGATTCGGGATCGTATATCCCGAAACGCTTCCTAATTCCTTTACAAAAAAGCTCCAAATCGCGAATCGCGCGATTTGGGCTGTATAGCCCTGAATCGCAATGAATATCATGTCGCCTTAGTTATTCTAACTCTCCCCTAAGCCTCCTTAAACCCTAAACCGCAAAGCCATTAA